TCTCCCCAGTGGCACAGCGGGATGTCTGCGGACTTACAACGCTAGAATCCCGTGGTGGGCGGAGCACAGATAACCCATTGTGTACAAACAAACATGCATATAATCTCAAAACTGGTTAGCATTAATTCATATTTGCCAACTTCTATGAAAACAAATTATTGAAAGATGGCAACAATATCTTAGATATCAATAAAAAGTTCTGGTAACATTAACTCCATTTGAAATGACCATCTTTGAGAAAACAGGTTTCCTGGATCCGTCTACATGACCTTCACCTCTTGACTGCTGGGCAGTACACCTACAGTAATGATCAACGATTATCTGTAATCTATAAACCAATGTCCGGGGATTGGACACTACAGATCCAGTTTGTGCATCAACGCGATAAAGGGAAGTACGAATGTCAGATCAACACTGACCCATCAGTTAGTCGTATTGTTCATTTGAACGTTATAGGTGAGTGTATTTGTTCCTACAGTATAAATTCAGGTGAGTGTATTTGTTCACATAGTAGGTTGCTAAGTGAACGTATTTGTTCACATAGTATGTTGCAAAATGAACGTATTTGTTCACATAGTATGTTGCTAAGTGAACGTATTTGTTCACATAGTTGTTGCTAAGTGAACGTATTTGTTCACATAGTATGTTGCAAAGTGAACGTATTTGTTCACATAGTATGTTGCTAAGTGAACGTATTTGTTCACATAGTATGTTGCTAAGTGAACGTATTTGTTCACATAGTGTGTTGCTAAGTGAACGTATTTGTTCACATAGTATGTTGCAAAGTGAACGTATTTGTTCACATAGTATGTTGCTAAGTGAACGTATTTGTTCACATAGTATGTTGCTAAGTGAACGTATTTGTTACAACAATGAGAACTTAGGTGAGTATATATGTTAGTATAGTAAGAATTTTAGGTGAATATTTATTGTTGGTGCAGTAAGAACTTGCAGGTGAATATTTATTGTTAGTACAGTAAAACTTTTAGGTGAGTATTTATTATTGGTACAGTAAGAACTGTCGGTAAATATTTTTGTTCTTACGGTAAGAACCTACAGATAAGTATTTTTCTTGGTATAATAAGAACTTCTAGGTGAATATTTGTTGTAAAGAAAGAAAATCAGGTGAATATTTATTGTTGGTACACTAAGAACTCTTAAGTGAGTATTTATTGTTGATACAATAAGAGCGTGTAGTTGGATATTTTTGTTGGTGCAGTAAGAACTTGTAAGTGAATATTTCTTGTTGGTGCAGTAAGACCTTGTGAGTATCTATTGTTGGTACAGTAAGAACTTGTAATTAAGTAGTTATTGTTGATACAGTACTAACTTGTAGGTGAATATTTATTATTTATACAGTATGAAGTTGTAAATGAGTATTTATTATTGGTATAGTAAGAACTTGTATGTGAGTCTTGACACTGAAACTGTTCATAGTAGTAGCTGAGTGTATTTCTAAATGATTTTTGGCTTTTGGTCTGAAACATATAATAATAATAATAGATTTAATACAATTCTAGACTTGATATATAAACGTAGTATTCGGTACACCGCTGAACTTAGTAGATAAATGTTATTTGGGGTATATTGCCGGACTTTGTAGCTAAATCTATTTTCGGTACACAGTTGGTCTATATAGGTAAATGTGTTTTTCTGTACACAGCCGGTCTTTGTAGGTAAGTGTGTTTTCCGGTACACAACCGGACATTGTAGGTAAGTGTGTTTTTCTGTACACAGCTGGTCATTGTAAGTAAGTGTGTTTTTCGGTACACAGAGGGACATTGTAGGTAAGTGTGTGTTTTTCGGTACACAGAGAGACTTTGTAGGTAAGTGTGTTTTTCGGTATATGTCTGGTTTTTGTAGGTAAATGTAATTTTCTACACACCAATGAACTTGTTAGTTAGATTAACTTTTCGGTACACCGTTGGACTTTGTAGATAAGTGTGTTTTTATGTGAATACGTCTGTAGAGAGTGAACTGACATTAGCAGAGGATATACAGCGGAAAAGTGAGATTAGTTGACAAAAGGTGCAGTCTGTGCTAGATAAAAATTGATAAATATGTAGTTTTGGGTTACTCTCAGCTGATAAACGTTTATTTGTTTTCTCAATGCTTTTAACAAATGGAAAAATTGTGCTTTGAATGAAGAAATTTTGATCGTTAAAATATGAATAAAGATCGTAGAATTTTAATATATTTTATGTGGATAGCAATTAGTAAAGATCTGTTTTGTAGAAAGAAATATTAGTTTATAAAATCCGAGTTTATATATAACAAATATAGAGTTTATGTATAGAGGTAACAACTTACAAAACTTTGAAGTTGTGGGTGTGGGTCTAAACAAATAAAATTGTATTTTCTAAGTGTAGATATTGATTAATGGGTTGGTGTATTGTAAATGGGAATTATACTTATTAATACAATTGAATGTATTTGGTGAAGAATTGTAAAGAAAAAGTTGAAATTACATTGCAGGATATATACTAAAATTAAAGTTGTTGAAGTGAGGATACGTACTAAAACATTCGATTTGACGAGGGAGGATATCTACTTATGAAGTTCAGATGGGCGTCTAATGATACACTTGAAGTTGGTGAAGGAGTTGTCTGCTAATAAAGTTGAAGTTAAAAAGGTCGTCTAGTGATACACTTCAAGTTAGTGAGGGAGTTGTCTGCTAATAAAGTTGAAACTAAGAAGGTCGTTTAGTGATGCACATCAAGATTG